TCCTCTTCAGCACCCTCTAGGTCACCCTTTTTATATCCTGTTGTTCAGAAGGGATCAAGAATGGTAGAATTTATGGGGAAGAAACTATTGGAGTCATCAGACTGCAGGGATGCAAGTGGGCCCCCCTCCTTCCCCTTTAGAATTTCCCTCTCTCCTTCCCATCTGCTTGTGTGCATTCTGAGAAGGAAGAAAAAAGGGCTGAATCCAGTTCAGTGAACTTGGGAAAAGACCCAGTCTCCGGATGTCTCTTCCAAGCTCAAATGCGCTTTTTTTTGTCCTTGTGGATGTAGTGTGTTTTTGTTCAGTTAAAGCCACCTGCATGGGCCTTGCCAAAGGTCACTAGTCTGGGTTCTTTAAATTTGTCCAAACCTGCCAAAATCTTCCCCTTTCACAGCTGGTGTCGCATGGCGATTGGAACCACCCTCAAAAATCTTTTACTTGTACAATCTATTGAAGCCGGTTGCCTCAAAAATTGTTGTCCCTGCCGTAGACCCAGTTGTTCGACTGTCCTTGTAGATGTCCACGTGGTTTTTGAGAACACAAGAGGTTATAAGTACTCTTTAAGGCCCTTGTAGGCCTTGCTAGGCAACTGGCTGTAGCCACCATGGCAATTTTTCAGACCTTATCTGTGTAGTCAAATACTAAGGCTAGGGACCCTGGGCCATCTGAAACCGTGTGCTTTCCTGTGGCCATGGACTACTATTCACTATTGTACTGCTTGCTACAAAACTGAGACAGGGTGGGCGTGGGAGAGGTTATACAGGGCTGTCCTAACAGTTTTGATTTTGCCAGTATCCAATCACCTGACGGTAGCAGTATAACCCCATCCATTCAAAAATCAACTCCGTGTCCTAGGATGTACTCCAAGAAACATATTTTACAGGCAAGTCAAAAATCCTGTTTTGCTCTTTTGCTTCAGTACTTCTTGGGTCACTGGCAGGGAATAAGATTTAGAAATTAAAGAGATGAGAAATGCTGACTTTCGTTTTGGGCCAATGACTCAGAAGTATTAAAGCGTAACACAGTTGGCAACTGATGTTTCCACAAGGCCTGCTTATATAGGAAAGCCTATATATTTATTTTATGACAGGTCTACTCTAAAGCTCTATTATTCCCCACTGTCAGCAAAAGCTCCATCTAGGGCAGTGGCGTAACAACCGGGGTGGCGGCCGGTGTGTCTGCTCCGGGCGTTAAGCTGAGAGGGGGCGCCGGACGGAGCCCCCCCGGTTATTATGCCACTGCGGGATTTGGCGGGTCTCTGTTGCTGTGGTCCGGTCAGACTCGGACTCTCTCCGTGGCCGCCCGTGCGTATGTGCGGCCGCGCCGCCTGTAGTGTCACTCCTCACGCAGGCAGCAGGCTCCTCTAGGGGACTGGTTTTAACCACAATAAGCACTCACAAATCGTACATTATTTCCACATTTATCTGCTAGCTTTAACAAAGCACGTCTGCTCCTGAGTAATTAGTTCATCCATGGAGTCATTAAGGTCTGGTGAAAGTATATAAAGGCAATAAGTTTGCTCGTATTTTTAAAAACTTTTAGTATGTCCGTGGGTTGGTAAAGAATTATAGTTGGGTAAATTTGAAATTTTTCTTTTGTTTACAGGCCAGTGAAAATTGGTCATGATGCCCTTGATTTACAAGAAGGAAATGGAGCCCTCTCTGTATTTACAGATGAACAAAGTAATGATCTAGTCATTTCAGATCTTCATACATCCACGCAATCTTCTCATCTTCTGAATGTCAACGTACCCCTCCCATTAGAGAACGTAAGTGGGGTGGGGTAGGGGGGAGTAAAATGAAGACCGATGTAAATGCACATCTTGTAAAACATTGTTCTTCCATAGTTCTTCAACTTTTTATTACATTTTATTATATCTGTAGTTTTAGCAAGTTGGCTTTTTTACATAGATTTAAGAGCTTTATTTTGTTGTTGCTTCAACACTTTACTAAAGGGGTAGGAAACCTTCGGTCCTCCAGCTGTGGTGAAACTACAAATCCCATGATGCATCTCTCTTCGGGAGTCATGTCTGTGGCTGTGAGAATCTTGCAATGCATCATGGGATTTGTAGTTCCATCACAGCTGGAGGGCCGGAGGTTTGCTACCCCTGCTTTAGTAGCATGTTGGTATGCTTACTTGGTTTTATCTATTTTTTTTTTTTTCCATTGCAGATAAGCCACCCCAGTATGCAACAGGATGCACAGGAGCAAGATTGTAGCACGTCAGGTATGCCACAAAGTGGGATGTTGACCTGTATTCTAGCCGCTTGACCCATTGCAAGTTTAAACTGTTAGTGAAGACTATGATGTTTACAGCATGTCTGAGGCTGTGTGTGTGTGTATTATATCTATATAGATCTATATATCTATATAGATATATATACAAAAAGCATGAATCCAAGGTTAGAGAGGAAAGACTATACCGTTGAAATGTATTTATGGAGTTGCCAGTCTTCCATCATTTTGTTGCCCTCCTGCACCAGCACTCGTTACTTACTTTTCCTCTCTGTCTTTATTTTGTCTTGCTGTTGTCTATCACACAATTTCCTCAATTTTTTGACTATCCCTCATAATGACAAGTTAAAGCACAGCTTACACAGTGATTTATATTAGACATGTTACTATTGGGACTCAACAGTGTGAGCATAACACATAATCACATGCACTGTTTCGCTACCAACCTTGACAAATATCTGTTTGTGGTGCATGTATATTTACAGACCGTTTAGTTGAAGACGGCGTATCTGGAGAAGAGACCACATTTATTCTTACTTTGGTTGAAATTCCAGTTAGTGAAGGGTACTCCTACTCATGTGATGGGGCTTCAGTAGATGTTCTTCCAGCACCTGTATTGATCACCTCGAGCTCAACCCAGATGTTAACTCCTGATCAGAGGTGAGTTACTGGAGTTTTGATGGTTACACTTTCATTTATATAGTGGAGTTGTTGTTTTTTTGGGGGTTTTTTCGGAACGTCCATATTACTATTTAGGAGCTACCTCATTATAAGGACCGCTGGATACCTTTTTTTAATTTTATGTTTCACTGCTGAGGGGGTTAACGCTAATTGAGCGCTGGCATCATTTGCTGGGTGCAGTGTCTCGCTTGCACTGTTTCCCGCCAGTCAGTATTGAGAAGGTGCCTTCCAGCTCCTGATCACAAGAGACACATGGGACTCTTCATGGTTCATCCTTGCTGCCAGCCTACAGTGATCTGGTCACTTTTTATCACTTTGTACCCAGAGCTACGTTGAGTTCCATGGTGCTCCAGCGGGTGTGGCCACCTCCAGTGCTCTGCCCAAGGAGGATTTTCCTGCAGTTATGCAGGATTTTATGTGCCAATTAGCACATTTGATTGCTGGCTCTGACCATTGAGACCGCAAGCATACCTTCACCTTTTTTTTCTGCAAAATCCTTATCTTTCTGCCTGTGGCCCCTGAGTTTTTAGCTGCCGAGACTTTCTCTGAGGCCAAGTCCCTTAAACCCCTAATGATGAAGGTAAAACCAATCTTGGCATGTGTTATTAAAACTGTACATATCTTTGCAACTACTTGTTGTATCCAAGTAAGTTATAAATTGGGCTCCTAATACCTGAGGATTAGCCTGTAACTTGTCCCAGCTCTGTCCCCTAAGCCATTTCTGGTGCACACGCTGTGGGATGAACCTTGATAAGCTGTTTGTCCCTCCCAAGCAAATATTTGCCTTTTACCTGTTTAAGGAAGACATTGGTAAAAAGTGGACTGTCCCCTCTGAATCCAGCAGTATCCCATCTAAACAAAGCTGTGACCTTACCAGTGAAGGGTGCACTTTTTAAAAACCCCATCAAAAAGTGTCTGGAGGCTCTTTCTAGAACTCTACTCTCCCTGGCAGGCACTGCACTGCAGCCTGCCTTGGCTGTGACCTCAGTTTGTTTTAGCTTACGTGGGCCATATAACCCTGACTGTTCGGAAGTTTGGATGGGTCATGAATCTTCAGAAGACAATACTGGAACCGACTCATTGCTTAGAATATCTGTTTTATAGAGATAATCTAATCTCTAGGAAAAAGCCGTTTGGTGAAACATGCTAGAGTTCGAGGAGCCTGTGTGTGTTTGCAGCATGTTTTGACTTGGGGAATATACAGTATGCAGCTTTTGATACCAGTCGTTAGTGCGGCAATTGTTTCTGCAAGAACCAGTATCAAACTGCAGCGTGCGCTTTTTTTTGCCTGTACCAACAAGAGGGATCGGGCTTTGCTACCACAGGACAAGGAATATTGGCGGTGGCTGATTTGTGAGTTGTTTTTTTTTGTTTTAATATGCTTTTAATTGTTTTGGAACATCTGAGTGCCCCTTTGGGTTTAGGCCTTGTTCACACCAAATGCAGAGCAGATCCGGTCAGGTTTCTGCTCACGCACGCTAGCCTTTTAGTTTAAATCTTTTTTTTTTAGTTTAACATGGGCTTTGAGTGCGTTCCAGGCATTTGCATGCGTTTTTGATGCGTTTGCAGATCAAGAGCAGGTAAAATGGGGCCAGCTGCAGTTTTTTTTACCTGCTCTGGATCTGCACGCTGCGATGTGAACTGGAGCTCAAAATACCATTGGAATACATTGGACGCAGTTTTGATCCGGTCTGCACCTGCTCTGGATCTGCTCTGCGCTTGGTGTGAACTAGCCCTTAATGAGGATTGAGAAGTGTGTTAGGAAATGTTTAAATCTGAAACTGCAATGTTCTTGAACTGTGTCCTGAGATGGGTAAACCAGCATATTATACTTCATTGGAATAGAACACTAAGGCTGCCAGTGGGTGTAAATATTCATTTAGTTTAAAGTAAACCATGTTTGGGCCCAGAAGTAAAAATGTGTTTTTTAAATATCTGTTTTTGCACAGTCCTGAAAATGCTGCATCATCCAAGCCATCATCTTCTGAGTCCTGTCAGTCTGGTCAGGTAGAGGCAAAGCTAATGCAGAATACGCCCTCTAGAAAGAGACGTGTCCGTGTTTCAAGTGAAGAAAACGAGCCTCAACCTTCCAAAAAAGCTTTTCTGTGTGCCAGTCCTGAGGTAACCTGCACTTCTGTTCTTACTATTGCTCTTTTGTTGAAAAAACATTTTTACGGTTTTAAAATGGTATCTTTTTTTTTTTCTTCTTAAAGCAAGGAGAGGACTGCGGACCCAACACTGCAGGTAAATACACAGTCCATATGCACTAATATTTACTACAGACAATATGTGTATTGAAGAGGGGGGGAGGGGGGGCGTAACCGGCTGGAAATTCAATTGTAATCTGTTATGATTGCATTACTGTATCAAACCATTTCACCTCAGTTTTGTCCCTAGAGTTTTTTTTCAGTGCCCTGCCTGCACTTTTACCGTTCTTTCTGCCTGAAAACTTGAGAACGTCCATGGCATCCAAAAAGCGTCTCTTTAGGTCAAAAGCGGTTTTAGACCAGCTAGAACACAGCGATAGTGATTTAGACTCACTTGCAGAATTGAGCGATAGTGATTCTTGGGGAAATTCGTCATCAGACACTGAAAGTGACAACAGCGACGATTCTGCGATTTTTCATACCCGGGATGTTTAAACCAATATGCAGTGTCTAGTAATATTGCACCCTTGTTTGGACACATTTCAGTGTTTTTGGTTTGATTTATGTTATTTAATTAAATGTATTATATTATTATTTTTTATAATTAATTATTATGTTATAAAATGTATTATTTTGTGTTTCAAACTTTATCATATCTGGGATGTCTACTAGACTCTTGTTTGGACAGATTTAAGCGAGTTATTCCTAAGAATTACAGGCCTACAATATAAAACAACAAAATTCCATGCAAAACAATGTACCGCTTTGCCATTCAAAAATACTGACATAATCAGACCGCCAGGGAGGTTAATAGACCAGAAAGTCCCATTTAAGGAAGCCAGGTGGCGTGTAATGACTCGCCACCCGGCTTCCCGATTTGCAGGGAAGCAGTCTCCATGCTCCCTCGTCACCAGGTGACGAGAAAGCATGGAGCCGGCTTTATGGCCAATCGGGAAGCCAGGCGCCAGGTAATGACGCGTTGCTCGGCTTTCTGATTGGCCGAGAAGCTGACCAACCAAGCTCGCCCAAATACTTGTCATCAACACTGATACTAGTGTGTGTGTAATAGGGCTGCAACTAATGATTATTTTCGAGGAGTTGGCCAATTTTGTTTGATCGGATAAAAGAAATTACCAGCCTTAATTTAAAATAAAATACACAAATGCAGTGTTACAAACATAAAGTTTACTTCAAAATAAAACTGCAGGCACAATATTTTGCAATCGCACTGCACTTGAAAGCACAGCATTGTGGTACCGTGCGGGCGATCACACTGTGGGTGGGAGGTGCGTTTGGGGTGCCATTCAAATGAATGGCAATGCAACAATCCTCCCACACCAGGAATCGCAGGGAACTGTGCAATTAACGCACTGTACTAGTTTGAACAGGTCCTCAAAAAAAATGATAGACCCACACAACCACAGACATGCCACTGAAATGAATGGGAGTGCAATGCACCTCCCCGCAGTGGAATTTGTCAGCCTAAAACTGACTAAATTTATTTTATTAACTGTGTAGCATGCACATGGCGCTTGAATAGCTTCAACCAGGGAATGACAGCTGCCAACGGCAAGATTCCGCAGATGGCAGCTGAATGTAATACAGCAGGTATTGGGCTGGCTATTGCACCCGCCCACTGCTTGCTGTGCCCTCCTCCCAGCATGGAGGAGAGAGCTAGAGGATCCAACCAACTGATCGATAATGAGAATAGTTGACAACTTTTCTCACTATTGATTAATCGATTAGTTGGTTGCAGCCCTAATGTCTATGTATGTATATATTTCTCTCCCGTTCATTGAAGGACACGGGGAACAGATGAGAGATCATGTACTGTAGGGTAATATCGCCACCTGCAGAAGAAGGACGCTAGGCACAAAACTAAAGACCAATTCCAGCCTGGGGCGGCCCCTGCCGGTGGCCAAACCCCCCACCTGCTGACAAGTCTCCAGTTAG